CCTTCTTTCCTTCCTTCCTTCCTTCCTTCCTTCCTTCCTTCCTTCCTTCCTTCCTTCCCTCCCTCCCTCTCTCTTTTTTTATTTTTTATTTTTTGAGACAGGGTCTTGCTATGCAGTTCAGGCTGGCCTTAAGCGCACTTTGTAGCCAGGCTGGTCTTCTGACAATCCTCCTGCCTCAGCCTCTTGAGTGCTGGGATTATAGGCGTGTGCCACCAGGCCTATACCTCAATTCTAAGTGCTTAGTTGTCTTTATTCATGTGTAAGCTGTCTCTCTCATTCGGAATCAAAGGAAACAGTAACAAGTAGTATCCCATTCATCCCATTCCTTTCCCCGCTTATAAGGGTATACAAGAAAGAGAGCAAGAAAGACAGGGAGTCTTGTTTTCCTGGGAGGAGGCTAAGGTCAGGCAGAGGATCTCCAGAGCACAGGTGGGCACCCCACCCCCAGCATCCTGGGCTCCATGGTCTGTAGTCAGTCTGCCTGGGATATTTGGCCTGTGACATTTGGCCTCACTCACAAGGAAGTGAGGCAAGGCTAGAGCTGTGGTCTTCAAGCAGTGCCTCCTTTTTGTGCATTCTCAGAGGTTAATTTAAGGTGTGCCATGCACGTGCACACTTGCTGCCAGTCATTTCTAGAGGTGGTGATGGCCTGTGGGATCTGGAGCCAGCTGGGTTTGAGTACTGGCTCCAGCCATTCCCTGTGCAACCCTGGCTGAGTCCCTGGCTGAGTGTCACACTCCTGTGGCCTGTTTTCTCATCTGTCAAGTTGGAAATAACCCTGACTCTTACCTTTTGTGGTAACTGTGAGGGTTAAACAGTTAGTACTAGGTTAAACTAGCTGGGGGTGGCGGTTCACACCTGTAATCCCAGCACTTGGGAGGCCAAGCAGGAGGATCTCTGCGTTTGAGACTGGCCTGGGCTGCATAGTCAGTTCAGAGCCAGCCTCAACTGCTTGTTGAGACTCTGCATGCCCACCCCGCCCCCAAAGGGTAGGTAAAACCATATGGAATCATGTTTTTTTTTGGTAAGAAACAATTCAAGGAGCTCCTGTATGTAGTTTGTTGTTTCTCCCAGTGGTTGTATTTTGCAAAACTGTAGTATGTGATAACTCAGATATTGGCGATGATGAGATTCATTAGTCTTACTCAGATTGTCCCAGTTTTCCTGACACTCAGGTCTGTGAGGAAGAAGATTTGCTTCTGTGGCATTTGTCACCATAGGAGGATCTGCTGCCCTCTAGCACACCCACCTCCCTGACCATCTTCTCTTTAACCCTTGGAAACCACTAATTTGTTCTCCATTTCTAAAATTTTGCTATTGAAGGATGTCATATAAATGGAATCATAGAAACGTAACCCTTTGGGATTGACTTGAACCCCTGTATCTTAGCCAGTGTATATCAAGTGGTGCCTGTATCTCCAGTTCCATCTTGTGCTGAGCTGTGTTCCATGGTGTGGTTATACCAGTTTGTTTAACTTTCAGCCATTGAGGGACATCTAGGCTGATCCACTTTTTGGGCAGTTATATAAATATAACTGCCAGGCTGGGCATGGTGGCAGACGTCTGTAATCCCAGCACTTGGGAGGCCAAACAGGAGGATCGCTGCAAATTCAAGGCCAGCCTGGGCTACAAAGTGAGTTCAAGGCCAGCCTGAACTGCATAGCGAGACCCTATCTCAAAAAGATCCCCCTGCCAAAAAAAAAAAAAAAAGCCAAAAGATACACCTGCCATAAAAATACTTGAGGAGATGATTGGACCCCTTTGGACCTATAGAAACAGCAGTCTTGAGTGGTCTAACTTCTTGGGTCAGGCTCTGAGCACATTGCTGCTGTGAGTGATGGTCTCTGTCCTGTTGAGTGGGCATCATCTTGTGTTGCTGGATGAACCCTGATACACGTCTCAACCACCTGTGTGGACATGTACAATAGGAAATAGGGAGGTAAATCTGTTGTAGATGGGAAGGGGATCAAGAGATGAAGGGAGGGAGGAGGAGAGGGAGTAAAAAGATGTGTTTTGTACATGTACCACCTAGCCACTGTGAATACTACCATTATACTGTTCTAATAAACTTTTTTGAAAATTGCCAGGAAAGCCATCGTGCCACACTGGCCTCGTGATACCTATAGTCTGCTGCTGCTGTTCAGTAGTTCATTGGGAAGAGACAAGAAGAGACTCAGTCCTGAGGCTGTTCGGGTGTGACTGCCCCCCAGAACCCAGGGTTCCATGGTTGTGGAACCATGCACTGGCTCGCTCGGCCAGTGCATGTGTAGTGCCCCCTGTACTGGCCTCTCATAGTGGTTCATGGGTTTTAATAAGAACTTACCCAATCAGCCCAATTCACAGTAGTGAGAATTGTGGTTCTACCAAAGAACTACAAGTGATAGAAAAGTAGCTCTGTGGCTGACAGTGGTTACAGACGTGGGACTGAGGCCTGTTGCCTATTTTTTTTTTTTTTTTTTTTTTTTTGAGACAGGGTTTTACTGTGCAGTTCAGGCTGGCCTTGAACTCACTTTGTAGTACAGGCTGGCCTCAGACTCACAACATCCTCCTGCCTCAGCCTCCTGAGTGCTGGGATTCAGGCGTGTGCCACCATGCCTGGCTGAATTGATCATTTTAAAAGCAAGGTACGGTGGCACACCTATAATCCCAGCACCCAGGAGGCTGAGGCAGGAAGATTGCCGTAAGTTCAAGGCCAGTCTGGGCTACATAGCAAGAGACCTTGTTTCAAAATTAAAAAAGGCTTAGTGATCTTGAGAAACTGTGATTAGTAGCTATTGCATTTAGTTGGTAAAAATGGTCAAGAATCAAATAGTGATAAATGTAGTTTGATGAGTAATCTAAAATGTGGGGCATTGGGAAGAAAACAAACTCATGGTGGCGGGATACTGGAATCATGATTCCGAGTTGCAATCACGTGAAGCATAATTGATCTGTGTTGCCATCTTGTGTCTTTGTGAATGGATTCCTAGACAGTGTGGAGGGGCTGGTCTCCACAGGGCATTGGCCAGGCAGGAACCTCAGGCATAGCCTGAGTGGATGGGGGCGGTGCTCAGCGGGAAGGAGCTGTGAGTGGCCACGAGGTGTAGAGGATGCAGCACGCATACCCTTGACAAAGTTTTGATTCTTGCCGAGATTGCTGCCTAATTCCATTTACATCGTGGATGGAAAGTGGAAGGGCCCATCTGTAGAGGACAGCCAGGACGCGTCTTCTCACAGCCTGGCCTGTGGGCCTTGTGTGCTAGGACGGAGAGTTGAGAGCATACACCTGTGACCAGCCCAAGTGCATCTTTACAGCTTCCTGTAGTCCTGCCGTGGCTAATTGAGACGGAGAGGGCTGAGGTTGAGATTGGCGCTGACGGTCCAGTTTTACTCTCGTTTCAGAACTCACGGCCCTGCTGGATTTGACACACAGTCCCCAGCCCCGCTGACTTCCGCCATGGAATCGGTGAGTGCTGGCTACATTCTCTCCACAGTTGGTGGTACTGACCTTGGCTCATGACTGTGAGCAGCAGGATATACAGGGCTTCCATGCTGGGTTCTTGGGCTTGGTGGAATTTTGCTCAGTGTTTGATTTTTGTCCTGGCTTTCACTCAGGATGGCTCACAGGGTAGCTGTGAGTTCTGTGGGGGCAGATAAGTAGTAACTTCACTGTGACGAGGAACTCAACTGAAAAATCAAATGGGTCTTTAGCTTCACTCAGAAAAGCAACTTTTTTTCAGGTTTCACCAGCCCTAGATAGTCTGGAGACTCTGCAGGTACAGTTTTCTGGCACTTTGTGTGTGTTGCAGTAATTTTACCTGAGAAACAGCTTTGGGAGGAAGCAGAGCAGGCTGGGGGCTCTGGTATGGCTGTGCTGCACTACCTGGAGGGACCACTGGGGCACGGCTGTTGCTACTCAGGCTGTCCCTAGAAGCTGGGGGCCATGGTGTGGTCAGGCAAACAAAGAGCGTCCTAGCTTGTTTTCCTGATTTCTCGCCTCCCCCAGTGCGCCTGGCATGTGCTGTGAGAGGAGGGGCATCTACTTCTGTAAAGGCTCCATTGGCTTTGCGTCTGACCGAGGATGAAGTCCTCCCTTGGAGGATGCATTGCTTTAGTGTTTTATACCTTGCCCGTGTAACAATCATTGTTTTAAAGTAAAACAGTCCAAATGTACGCGATCTGTTTTATGTTGTTATCCCTAGAAGACATGATCAGACGTATTACCCTTTATTCAGTCACTGCAAAGCCAGGCCAGCCACTTTGAAACTGGCCTGACTGGTCCAGTCTCGAGACCAGGGTGTTTGCTTGGCCACAAGGGCAAGACATCTCTGGTGATAGGCGTGTGGTTATACTCAGGGCAGGGAGCAGTTAGGAAGAAGCCAGATGGCAGGGGGAGGTGTTGGTGGTCAGGTGAGGTTTGTCAGGCTTGAAGGTGGGTCTGGCTTGGTTGTCATCAGAGGGAACTGTCAGGGGTCAAGGTGCTTTGGAGGAAGGCCAGCCATCCTCCCACACCTCTGTAGAAAGAGGGCCTCAATGAGTAATAAGGAACAGCAGAATACTGCTTGTCTTTGTGTGAAAATTTGATTATTAATAAGCATTTAGTGACTCAAAACACATTTTCCAAATAGGAGCCAGGCATGGTGGTGCATGTCTGTAATTCCAGCACTCGGGAGGCTGAGGCAGGAGGATCACCATGAGTTCGAGGCCGGCCTGCACTACAGTGAGACCCTGTCTAAACAAAACAAAACAAAAGGAAACCATATCAGGACTCTGTCCTCAGAATCAGAGATTGGCCTCCTTGGCCTGCACCCCAGTGGAGGCTGAGCCAGAGATCATGTAAATTTGGAAGGTATCAGGCTACAGAAATGGTGGTCTTTTGGGCACACTATGGTGACAGTCCAAAGTGCTTGTTTCCATTTGTTTCTGTGATCTGTAAATGTTTGGTATTGATTATGACTTTTTATGTCTTTGATATTCCTGCTCAGGAAAGCATCTTCCTGCATAGCAGGGAGGCCTCCTGGCCATGAGTGGGGAACAGTGTGTAACAGGGTGTCGGGACCCATGAGCAGCTCGAGCCTTCTCCTGAGGGGTGCTCTCCAAGGTCTTTCCTTAAAATGCAGAGTGTTAGAAACAGAGTTCTGCAGGCTCTCCAGTAAGCTTTCATTCTTTTAACATCACTTGTTCTTTTTTATTATTTTGATTTTGGTGACTTAAAGTAGAGTTTGAATGGTCGAGATACAAGGCCATTATTCCTGGCAGCAGGCCTAATGGTGTGCACTGCTGTGTGCTGCAGTACCCTGAGGTGTGGACAGACGCTGGGCTTGTCCTGCCTGGGGCATTGCCAGGGACAGGACAAGCTGTGTTGCTGTGTGAATGACACATATCTTCAGCTCTCCTCATCTCCATTTCCTCCTGGGAACTGGTGATGGTCACTCGCATCACAAATTTCTTCTAGTGGAAGTAAGACTATAGATACATGTTTAAAATAATCAGATCTAGTGTGTTTTTAAAAAAACCTTTATACAATTCTGGCTTAGACTGTCCACTGGTGCATCTCTCTTTTCATTAGTATCTCTCCTGATGAGTCCCAAGGCTCCAGGTCTTGCGACTTTCCAGGGAAGTGAAAAGATCAAGGTGGCCCCTGATGGCACATGCTGCTGGCTCACCTTGAGTTTGTCTGCACAGTTGCTGACGGAGCAAGTTTGGCATTCAGACAGAACTGTGTCCATGACTGACCTGAGCTGCATGAGAATACTAAATTATACTACTTAAGAAATGGGGATGAGTGTTTGTTTGTTTGTTTGTTTCTTTTTTTTTTTTCAGATAGGGTCTCTCTGCAGTTCAGGCTGGTCTTGAGCTCACTTTGTAGCCCAGGCTGTTCTTAAACTTGCACTGATCCTCCTGCCTCAGCCTCCAGAGTGCTGGGATTATAGGTGGGCACCACCACACCCATCTGGGTATGAATGTTTCCAAAATCTTTTTTTTCTTTTCTTTTTTTCTGAAACAGAGTCTTGCTGTGAAGTCCAGGCTGGCCTTGAACTCACATTCTTCCTGGCTCAGCTTCCAAGGTGCTGAAATTGCAGGCCTATACCACCACGACTGGCAGCATTTTTTTTTTTTAAAGTGGTATGCCATCATACTAAAAGCAGTGTTATTTATATGACTGGAAAGTTGAATGGATTCTCTCTTTCTCATTATTTTGGTGGTACTGGCAGTTGAACCCAGGGCATTTGCACAGAGCAATGTTCCCAGCCCTTTTTTTTTCACCCCCTGTTTTTAAAATATTGAGACAGCATCCCTCTGAGTTGTCCAGGCTTGGCTCAAACTTAGGATCCTCTTGTATCTGCCTCCCAGAGTTCTGTGGTAACAGGTGTACACTGAAATGCCCAGCTTCATGTTTTATATTTTTAAATGAATATTTAAGCTGAGGGCTGGGGGTAGGGTATAGATGAGTGGTGGATCGCTTGTCTGGTGTGCAAGAGACGCTGGGTTTGATTCTCAGCAGGACATTGCCAAAAATAAAAAGAAAAGTGATCACTTTTGACTAGAAACGTTGAACTTGCAAGGCATGTGAAAAAATGATGTGCATAGTGTCCCTAAATGTGATCCCCGAGGCTCCCAGGCTACTGGCCATGGTTGTGGTTGCTGGGTTGCTCCCCCAGGGTGGTGGAAGACTTAAGTATGATGCTGAATTGGCTTAGTAGACTTGTGAGAAACTTGTAGGTCCTAATGCTAATTCTCTTCCATTTTTAATGTAGAAAGTTTTTTGTTAGGATTTAAAAATAGATAACAAAGCACACTTTGGTTCATTATTAAAGAAATATGCATAGCTGATTATGCCAGTATAAATTACCGGGTAGTATAATCTTTAGTATAATCAGTTCTTATAATTTCAGAGTTGTGGGGAATTTTCTGTGGTGAGGCTCCCTGAAACTACAGATAACTTACAGAATATTAGATGTCATTTGGGTTAGATTTGTTAATGTGAAATGTGTTCAGTTTTCTTAAGAGCTTTCCCACCCCTTGCTGCTGCCCTTATTTTTGGGTGGTGGCGTACATTGGTGAGTAAACCCAGGGGTGCTGTACCACTGAGCTTTATCCCCGGCCCTGCTATGTTGTTTTTGTATTTTGACGCAGGGTGTGCCAAGTTGCTCCGGCTGGCCCCTCTCTCAGGCTGCCTGTTCTGTAAGTGTCAGGATTTGCTTCCAAGTACCTCAGCTTCTTCCCTGAGTTCCCTGAGGGCTTTCCGTCTGCTTCTGGGAGGCACCCACATCCTAAGGGAGTGAGGCCTGGGAGAACGGCTGCACCCTGTGCTGTGGGATACTGCTTGTCAGCCCCAGGAGGCTCCTTTCTAGTGGGTTGTGTCCTCCACTTGGTCCAGGCAGGTGCTGGTGAGCTCTGGCCTTCTGCTGTGTTGTCCTCGTCAGTGTTTTGTCCCTCAGATCCAAGCGCTGGTCTGCCTGGGGCTGTCCTGGCTGTGTCTTGCCAGTGTGTGTGAGACACAAGGTGCTTCCCTATGGGTGAGTTGTTACCCTGCCGGAGTCACAGTGACACGTTTGCCCCTCACCACTGTCCCAGCCCCAAGTATCTTGGAGAGCGATGGGGTGAAGCCTGATTGGACAAGAGGAAATGTCTGTGTTGTGGTCAGAGTTGCTGGCATAACACGTGTGTTCTGCAGATTGCCATGCCTGTGTTCAGTTTAGAACAAAATACCTAGAAGTGCTGTGGCTGTGTTTTCATAAGTAAGAAGTACAAGACAGAAGGTTTAACGCGAGTCAGGACCATGATACCACTCTGAAATCTGTGACATATCTGCCCTGCCTAGGAGCCTGCGGTGGCTGAGGAGGGAGGACCTGGAACCCCAAATGTGGAGTCTAGGTGGGAGGAGGGTCTAGGTGGGTCATCTTAAGGGCATTGCACCCTGGTGGCACCTTTTTTGGTAAGTGACTGCAGCCTGGTGAGGTGGCTGATAGAAAGTCCCTTGTATGAAGAGGCTCTGTCAGCACTGCCTGCTTTCCTTTCTTCTCTTTGCCTAAGGAGGACATCTGTTAGGAGCCAGGAAATGTTACTTGTGCACAGGTCCGGAGAGGAATGACACCGTCACTCACTCAGGACTGTGAGGGGGTGTGAAGGAGAGAGCTGATGGGCTTCCCCACCCTTTGTGCTCTCAGCGTCACCTTGTGAGCTTAGTGGGAGCTGCACTGAGCTTGCCAGAGTGGACCAGGCTTGATTGTGATGTGGGTGAGTGGGTGGGTGGGGTGTTGCAGCCGTGCATCATAGAAGCCATCATATGTTTCTTTGTGGAAGTCGATTTTAAATAAAAGTTTGTGTTTGCAGAGGACTGTGGGTACCACTCTTGCTAAATTTGCTTACATACCCATCTAGAGAAAACGTCACGCAGAAGCTAGCAGTGTGTGGTGCTTTCATATCGGTAGTGCTTGGGAGATCAAAGTGACACTGGCTTCC